TACAGCTCCTTGTTTTTCTCAACTTCCATAATTAATTTAAAGTCATCCATCTTAACTGCTTGCCTCAGACTTTCTGCCTCTCTGTCCTGTTTGCTCCGGTGAAAAGACGCCCTTCACGTGGTCACACACACACACAAGTTCGATGTGTGTGTATGTGGGTGTGTGTTCGTGTGGTTTTTCTGCAGTGTCTGATTACGAACACATTTGACTATTGCGGAATTTTATTTTGAAATGCTTTATTTTGTTAAATTTACCGGCCTGCCTCTTATGTCTAGGTTTGACTTCCTGCCAGAATTGACGCGATTCACCCGCGGCTCGCGAAAAAAATAGAGCAGACGCCGTAACGATCGCCGCACGGCGCGGGCTGGATTGCTTCTGCTGCTCTGCTGCATGTGTGCTGTGACGGTGGCTCCACCCCCCGAGGAATGGAGCCACACAACATGAGTTCATAAAGCTGGCGCCATCTGCTGGATAGGTAGCGCAATATCGGACGTCTTTTTGGCCGATAGCCGTTAGTGTTAATGACCCCTATATCGGCCGATATATCGGTCGGGCCCTAATATATATATGTGTGTGTATATATATATATATATGTATATATATATGTATATACATATATATATATATATATATATATATATATATATATGTATATGTATATATATATATATATATATATATATGTATATATATATACTTTATTCATTTTCACAAAAGGAGAGAATCCTGTTCGAGGGATATCCAAGCACTTTTAGATCTGACCTGAATAAATCAAAGATTAATTAATTCCCATCTGAAATGCATCGACTCCAGCAAATTCTAACAGGAAGAACACAAACTGGCAGCTGCTCGAGTTATCGATTAATTCAATCAACTCAAAGACAGCTGAGGGAAAGGGCATTCATTTAATAATAATAAAGGAAATTACATGTTACCCATTCAGTTATTAAACATATTAACACACAAACCTGAAACGTTCAGCTGTAAAACCTGAATGTGACAAGACAGTCTGGGTGGATAATTTAGTCACATTAAGCTAAAACCAAAGGTCAGGTTCATCAAAACTGATCTGACCCATGAAGAATGAATCTGTTGGACACTTTGAAGTAGAATTAAGTAATTTTTCTGCATAAATTATGTCTTTAAATTCCTTTGAAATCTCATGAATGGAACTTTTAGATAGATTTTTGACTATTAAACATAATTTTACCAGAGTACCTCCAAGGCCCATTGGATTTGGGTTATTTCGTATCTGCCTGTCAGTGTTAGACCCAAAAATTTGCAGAAACACTGCATTATTTAACAATTTGTTTTTCTATTTTTGTTTTAGTTTTTTTAAACAAAGTTTTTTGAAAAGAACATGGCAGCACCTGTATAAAGGATGTTTGATGCCAATGGTCAACTTGTGTTTTCACATTGTGAAAAGAAGCCACATTTTGTTCCAGTGCTGAAATTGATCATAAAATATATTTAATCCGTTAAATGAATCAACTTCAAAAATCTCAGTTTTATAAAGACGTTTTATTTTATTATTTTTCCTTTCTTCCCAGTTTGTAAGGCAGCTAAAGCAGATCTGGTTTTCTTGGTCGATGGTTCCTGGAGCATCGGTGATGAAAACTTTCTGAAAATCATCCGTTTTTTGCACAGCACCGTGGGATCTCTGGACCGGATTGGCCCAGATGGCACACAGGTAACCCAGAAAGGGACTTGACTACATGGTTACGTTAATAAAATACAGGTAAATTTCAATCTCAATTAGGGACGTTTGACATAGGCTTTTTTTTTTTTTGCTGACATCCAATACATAAAAACTGATACCAATAAATGCAGGGTCTCCCCTCAATAAAAAATATAACACTAAATAATTTTAGGTAACCGGCATCTCATATCTCCTATCATGCATATTTAAGCTTTAAAATTTGCTTTGCTGAACATGACAACTCAGTTGAAGTTTCGCCAGTTGTGCCTGAAAAATCTAATTATCTGACATTTTGTAGCAGTTACTGAAGAGTTTGATGTATAATATGTTCATGGTATGTAAAAGCTGTGTCATTAAAAGAGTAAAAACCGATACATGATTCCGATTTTCCATTTTAAAGCCAATATTGGCCTTTATATAAAACACTAACCTCCATCTTTTTTCTCGATCCTTACAGCAATTTTTTTGTTGTAATTTAGTCACATGCATGCACTGAATGCTGTTCGAGTGAATCTGATGAAAACATCCTTTAACAGGTGGCTATTGCCCAGTTCAGCGATGACGCTAGAACCGAGTTCAAGCTGAACTCATACAGCAACAAGGAGCGTCTGTTGGATGCCATCAACAAGATCAGCTACAAGGGAGGAAACACGAAAACAGGTGTGTGCCACACACACACACACACACACACACACACACACACACACACACACACACAGTAGGTAGGCTGATGGACACCTTAAATGAACCAATATGTACAGCTTACCCCGGCTTTCCACAGCAGTCGTCAGCAGCACGTTACTGCAGCAGCACGTCATAGCTGCTGATAGGAACGGCTGTGGTCAACAGAACCTTTTCCACCGGAGCTGTCAGCAGCGCGAGTCGGCCGCGTCTCAGGAGCAGCATGTCGCGGCCTTTACGCGCCGGTTCTATTTCCTACGCGCGACGCCTCTGAAACGGGTCAAGTTCGACATTTTTGGGGAAGGAAAGACAGGAAATCGGACGCGGAAATGGAGAGAAGCTCCCGAAATTTTCAGAATAAAGAACGTACTGCCTTCCGGTCGCTTTACTTTAAAAAAGGTTACTAACCGTGCGGCCCCGTGAGAAGTTATCACCTAGCTAGCGGTCTCCTTTGTTTTTCAGGTCCGTATCGGCGATTATAAAACGGACAGAATATAAAAACACAAACATTTTGGAGCCATGTTGTAGTTTTCTCCTGCTTGTTGTTGTGTTTACTGACGAAGTCACTCGTGTGACTTCGTGCCCTGTCGGTGACAGCTGCTCCTCTGCTGCGTCGCGTCTCGTGGGAAGGGCCAAGCAGCAGCTAGACGTGCTGCTGCAGTAACGTGCTGCTGACGGCTCCCGTGGAAACCCGGGGTTACAGTCAATATACACTGCAGCAGAAAGATTAAAACACCCATTTGCTCATAACATCTTAATGATATGATCAAAAATTGCTGTGTAGCTGCAGGTTAGGTATAACATTTATTAAACAAATTAGAAATTTGTTCGCACCCTTGTGAATGTGTTTGGTGTGTGTATGGTACTAGAACACAGAGGTGTGTGTGACCTAAACTGATTTTGTGACAGAGCAGTGAGACTTCCAGCCATTAATCAGCATTTACAAAGCACAGCAGACAGTTTCTCCTACAGAAACGAGGCTGCAGAGAGCTGATTTGTAACTGAGTCTCCTCAGGCGAGAAATTCTCTCTCAGCTAACATCATGCCATAAAGCATTAATCTTTGATTTTATCAGGAAGCAACAGTTTTGGGAGTTATTGTGTGTTTATTCACCGTGTGCGCTGCAGTGGAGGGTCACTTTCCAGACTCTCCCAAAGGTTAGAAGAATATTTGATGGGTAGATTTGTTTGCCAGCCCGGTGTCATCTCATTACGCTGTTGAAATGTTAAAAAGGACACTGTCTTTTCTCTGTTGACCAAAGATTTATTAGTTTTGAGCCTGAGGCTGAATATTAGATTAAAATAAAATTTCACCCAATCATTTAAAATATATAACCCTAACCCTATCCTATGTAACATCAGTGTTGTATTTAATGGGTATTTTGGCTCTTTTGAAGTGTGCTTTTATATATAATATAATATAATATAATATAATATCATGTATCATCACCCTCTGCAGAGAGATTCCTGAACATCCACAGTTTGGAGAAATATAGTTTGTATCCTACAAGATTGATGAGCTAACTGCTAGTGTGAGTGCTACAAATACACAACAATTGTAAAACATTAATTTTTACTACACAGTTTTACTACACTGTAATTTCCATTGAGTTATGTGGTCATTTATGAGCTGAACATCTTCAGCATCTGTAAATCTAAAAACGTTCAATACATCAAGGCATCAAGTACGTCAGGAATGATTTAATCTTTCAGGTAAGACAAAAAAGGTAAAGGTTTGTAAAATACCATGTGCATGAATCACTGGACATTTGAAAACTGACAGGAATATTGCTTCATGCATCAGATGTGTAAATGTTTACAAAATTGTGTTTCCATGAACTTTGACATTTTAGTGAGTCAAGCTGTTTTAAGATGGCAGCAATCCACTTTGGTATTGGTTGCACTAACTAGCCGTTAGCCCATAAGTCTTAATGGTCATGAACTATTTTTAACAAAACCATTGCTTTATGGCAGGCTTTGTTGTATTACCAAGGGACACACGCCTTTATATCCAAATGAACCGTCATTCTTTAGTGTTTAATATAGAGCTAAATCACATTTACCATTGCCCAGAAATCTAACCCACTGTAGCGTTAGCAAAAAGATTTTGGTGTAGGTCAGTCTAGCCATGCTCCATTGTAGCCTTGGTAGGCCTACCATCTTCCTGAACAGTTGTGTCTGGCCTATAGCAGCGCTATATGTTTGTTTTGCGGGCTCAGCACTAGAGCTGTGAGGGAGAAAAATAACAACAAAAATGGTGTTGGCTCAGGTACAGCGTTAGTTTAGAATAGATTTGGCATTACCTTTGGACCATTTACTACATTTAATGATTTATTAAACAACAGAAATCACTGAGGCTGTTGTTGTTGCTGGATGCCATGACTACCCCGTTCTTCTTGTTCTTCTATGGTGTGGACTGCCCTGTTGGTCCCTGTTGATTCCTGTTGTAATAAATATGACACGCTGTTCATTGCTCTGATTAGTCCCAGTGCTGTCAAATAGCAAACAGAGACAGTTGGATAGCCAACCGTAGATTCCACTCCAGTGAGTTAGCCGTTTCAATGGTTCATGGCCAGGCTTTTATATACTTGTCGAGTGTGGCTTGCCAGGCTACCCTTACAAGCAATCAAAAGCTTAAACCTTCCTAGAAGGGCTTTCCACAAAGATGTGTTGATGGGAATTTTGGCCGTTCTTTCAAATGTAGATTACTGGAGTCAGGTTGAGGTTGGACTCATGATGTCTCTTTTTGAAAAATGCCAATTCATTGTTTTTTTGGGGTGTCCCAATATCCTCCGGCAATAAACTTCATGATAGGTATGACGGTAATTTTTGCTAACCTTTGCACAGAAACGCACTTAAACAACTACAAAATTCTCTTAGATGCTTGAATACCACCCTGTCAATAAGGATAAATAATTTTAAGTAAATGATGTCCAATTGTGTCTTCTTTATTGTGCTTACTCTGTGCTTCTTTAAGCGGGGTATTAGACTTGACACGGGTCTCTCGACTCTTACATAAACAGTTCCCTACATTCCCAAAAGCTAATTCCCCTCTAGGTCACTTTGATGCATCTCCCTCTGATTTTCATTTACTTCAAGGTGTCAGGGATCAAATTTCACCACCTGTCATCGCTCTAATGGTCCCATTCTGAGCCAAATCACTGCATATGAAACCTGCTATTATGTCATCAATAACAGCTCCACTCTAAGTCAATTTCAGCAATGACTCATCACATTTATAAAGCTGTTGCATTCCACTGAAGTGAAACTCAGCAGCAGAGAGCTCCAGAGGCTGCTGCCACTAAATTCTGAGACGTAGCAATTTAACTGGCGCCAAATTAAAATCCTAAAGCCTCGAGGCAACGCTGGTGTGTGGGGAGGACTCATCTTCTGGTAAAAAGATGAAATCTTAGAGGCAGTAATTTGTTGATTTGCAATGATCCATAATGTGCGTTACTCTGTTACCTTTGGAATTCATTTAACATTTTCATGCAGATTTTGGTTTCTGTTTTAACATAGATTTGCACTTTTCTAAATGTTTCTTTAATACCATAATCACAGAATGTCTAAGCAAAATTAAATTTGGCTTGACTTGGAAAGAGGTGATGTAAAAATATCAAATCCATTATTAGTTTGCTGTTGTTGAATGTGTGAAATGTTTCCCAAACGCCCAAGAACTTTTATTTTGGTAATTAAATTAAATAAAAACCGACAATAATCCAGTGATGTGATGTGATTGTTGGCTTTGATTGATGGTTTCCTTTGTCCAATCAGGTCGAGCCATCCAGCACGTGAAGGAAAACATCTTCACCGCTGAGGGAGGAATGAGGAGGGGGATCCCCAACGTCCTGGTGGTTCTCACTGATGGGCGATCGCAGGACGATGTCAACAAAGTTTCTAAAGAGATGCAGATGGAAGGTCATAAGTGTGGTGTTTATGGATTTACACTTAATCAATCAATCAATCAGTCAATCAAAGCTTTAAAAACAGGAAACAGTTAAATAATGATGTAGTTCGTCTGCTAAGTCTGTTTAGCTTACGGTACTTAATTGAGATTACTGCAGAATTAAAAATAAAAAATCTGTAAAAGAAAATAAATAATTTTTTTTTTCTGAATTTCTCTGACTAAAACATTACGAAGCCCATTTTTGAGACCTGTTTCTGTTTTGTTTTTTCCTGTAAAGGTTACATCGTGTTTGCTATCGGCTTTGCTGACGCCGACTACGGGGAGCTGGTGAGCATCGCCAGTAAACCCAGCGACAGACACGTCTTCTTTGTGGACGACCTGGATGCCTTCCAAAAGATTGAAGAAAAACTGGTGACGTTTGTGTGCGAAGCTGCCACCGCTAGTGAGTTCCTGTCAGAATAAATGTGATACAATATGGGACAATTTTGAGTTATTGTCCTGAAGCATCTTCTTTGTTTTTATTTACCAGCTTGTCCGTCAATTCCAATGAGCGGCAGCACAACGCCAGGTAAAATTGACTTTTCCTAACTTAGATCATGTTTATGTGAACTCAGTTCTAAATACTGGTGTCCTCCAAAGACTTTTTGGAGGGGGTCTGCTACTTTTATTCCTTCCAGAATAATACTTCACAAACTTAAAAACACTAACTTGATTTTGGACAAACATATTATAAAAAAAAGTTCAAAAGTGCAAAAAAATTATAATTAAAATAAAAATTTCTAAAATTATGTCACGTTTTTCACATAAAGTAAAGAATACATGTAGAAATATTGACGTTTTTATTTATTTAGAGAAATAGGTGTTATAATGTACTAACAATAATGTAACATTTATAATATTATGGCAATGATGTTACATTTCTTATTTCAAAAACTATTTTATATATTTTTTTATTTAATATTTTTTGCAGTTAATTTTTCAATTGCTTTTTGTTTCAATAAAATATAGACAAACATTTGCTCTAACTGGGGATTAACCTGATTGGTGAAGCTTAAAAACAAATGTACTTCAAAAAATAAAACCGCAATAAGACACATAGGTAAAATCAAATATTAAACGTCATGTCAGAGGGTTTCAGGTAGAATATAGTATCAAAAATAACGTAGGTATAGAAAAAATGCCATTTCAGTCAGCAGAAAGTATAAAAATATGTAAGAAATGCTAAAATATGTTTGGAGAGTTGCAGAAATACAAACTGTAGAAATATTTAGGTAGTAAAACACTATTGGACCATGTGTAAATAATGTCTGGACATTTTTTTTTTGTAAATACAAACAATAACACTTTAAAGTAGCACATAGTGTTTGGCACGTTTTCCATACCAACTTCTGAGGCTGTGAGGATCATCCTGTGTTTATTTCAGCCATAAGGGAAGGATGAGTTAACTAAGATAAGTTAGCTAAACCATCAGTTATAAATAACCTGACATCAGTAACGGGTGAATTTCTGTGAACTTCCTCTTGTCTGTGTCCAGGTTTCCATATGATGGAGCTGTTTGGGCTTGTTGAGAACCGCTTCAGCAGCATCTCTGGCGTTTCCATGGTACCCGGCACCTTTAATGCCTTCCCGTGTTTCCAGCTTCACAGCAATGCTTTGCTGGCTCAGCCAACAAGGTATGTTGAATTTATTACCATAGCTGTTTCGTGTTTCCTCACTGATGAGACTGGTGGGAAAGAAAAAAAAAACTTTTAGCTGAGTCAATGCTGATCGTATCCAGATCCAATAATCTGCACTAATTGAGGTTTTTAATTATTCACCGGATGGTTCGGTGTTTCCCTCTTGATTGACAGGTACCTCCACCCGGAGGGGCTTCCCTCCGATTACACCATCACCCTGCTGTTCAGGCTGCTGCCTGACACTCCTGAGGAGCCATTTGCTCTCTGGGAGATCCTCAATAAGAACAACGACCCCCTGACTGGAGTCATTATGGACAGTAAGTGGAGAAAGACCAGTGGATTCCAGTTTTCTGCGATTAGGGGAAAAAAAAAGAAAATTAATTTAGTTGCTGCAAAGAAAGAGTTTGCAGGCAACATTCCTAATTATCCTAAAATAAATCCAAGGCTAAACCATCTGTCAGGCTGTGAGCGACGTCTCGGAGATGAGTGGTTGCATAGAACCCAGCGAACCCTGAGAGGTACGGGGATTGAGTTTGGATTTGCTGGAGTGACTTGAATGTCACAGCGGTGTGTGTCGTGGGAATTAGATAAAGCCAACGATGTCTGTGGACAAGTTGGAAATGAGATTTTTAGGAGCTAAAGCAAATGATCCATCGATGAAAACAAAACTAAATAAAATAAAACACATATCCGTTTGGAACACCTAAGATAATTTATTTATTGTCTTTATGTTCATAATTAGTCTAAAGAAAGCTCACATGATTTTTATATCTTTATTTCTAACACAACAATAATAAAATCATGAACTCTACAATGAATAAATTTGGTTATTCTGTAAGTTTTTGGTTTTTCTCAGTGTTTCCTTCACTTGTAGTTGTTGTGTCTTCCTGCAGATGGAGGTAAAACTCTTACATTCTTCAACAACGACTACAAGGGAGACTTTCAGACAGTCACCTTTGAAGGAGCAGAAATCAAAAAGCTCTTCTTCGGCAGCTTCCACAAGGTCAGGAGAACACCCAGCCTTTGCTGTTTGCCTGTCTAATGCCTCTTTCACTCCCCATTACACTAAATAAACATTTATGCATTATTCAGGATCAGGAAGCTGAGCAGGAGCCTGTGGTGCATGCTAAAACTAAAGTCTTTAAAGGAAGCAACACTTGCTGCTGTTTTTGTTCTCTGCAGATATAAAAGTCACCATTAGTTTGGTTCAGCTGTGATTAAAGGTTAGTTTGTTCGTTTTTAAAAAGCCTGTCTAGAGCACAGAGGGTGCAGACGCTGATGATGATTCATCATGATGAGCAAACATAGACGTTTTAAAGCTTGTAGTTATGAAACATGCAACAGATGTCAAATAAAGTATTTACGCTGAACATATGACAGATTAGATTAACTCTTTAGCTTCTAAATGGAGAAAAAAATCAATGGACAGTTCTTTTTCCTTACGTTATCAATTTATTAGAGTTAGGGTTAGTTAGGGTCAGTAATAATTTTGGACTAAGACCTTTAACTCATTCACTGCCAGCCGTTTCCTGATCACTAACGGCCTTCACTGCCAGCGTTTCTCACCGTTTTTACTGTTTTTTTAAGAGTCACAGAACGTTGCGCGCTAGCATGATGTCGATGCCAAAACAAAGAGGAGACTCACCTCTTACATCAGGAAGAAGCCGTGTGTTTCGAGCGTTATCCGTTCTTTCATAATCCGTTGTCGAATTGTGATTGGCAGAAGCTTTTCCGGTTCGCGCCTCACTTTTTTTTTACAGGAACGGCCCAAAACTATCTCCAAACACATGGATGTGTTGCTTCCTGATCATGTGATCTGTGACGTATGCGGATGAAGATCGGCTTCAGGGCTGAGATGTTTGTTCTCTCAGCGCGGGGGCTCGTCCGACGCCCACACAGTAAACAAATGAGTCGTCATTGGCAGTGAACGGTTGGATCTAAAATGACGACTTTAGTCGTCAATGGCAGTGAATGAGTTAATGTAAGATAATATGAATATAGTAAGAATGTTAATAATGATCCGTTAACTCTCCCACTGACCTATTGGGTGACCCCTCCAGGAAAGGTGACTGTTGAGCAGGGTTGATGGTTTATCCCTTCAGGTCCATGTGGCAGGGGTGAGGTGGTGCTCACTCCTCACCCCTGCCACATGGACCTGAAGGGATAAACCATCAACCCTGCTCAACAGTCATCTTTCCTGGAGGGTCACCTGGAAAGATGGTGGAAGGCTTAAAAGGAATTCAGAAATACTTGAAAAAATATTTTTTTTTACTTTATGTTATTTGTCATTCTTATAATTTGAACTTTTTAAGCTCTTTTCATTACTTTATTGGTTTTGCTCTTTTGCAAAAAAAATTTGTGGTAAATTATGATGTAAAGTGTCCATAAATGGTCAACTATGGTAATGCTACGTTACACTGATAATGAGATAATGTGAATGAATAGCAATAATATTTAACTTCTCCATATTTTGTAAAATTGTAGTTAGTTTAGTAGTTTTTTGGGGGCTTAAGTAAGTTCAGTTATTTCTTGAGTTAGATATGTAGTCTAAAATATGTTTTTGCCAAATGGTTGTTTACGGGTTTAAGTCAGGGTGCAGCTGTGGGTATTAAGTTCATTAGTTCCTAATTTCCCCAGAATTTTGAACGTTCAAAACCTTTGCAGGACCAACTTTCCTGTTCTGGAATTCTGGAACACATTGCAACATGGGAGTCGTGGGAGGGATCAGTTGTGACTAATCAGAGACCAAAACACCAAAAGAGTCCGAGCTTCCAAGCAAGAGACAACATAATCACAATTACAAGGACATTTTCATGACATTTGCAACAACATTGCCTATACAGTAGGTCTAGAAAAAAGTAAATGTATTTTCTTGAAGTTATTTTGCTTCAAACAATTACCAAGGATTCAAACATTTTAGGGTTTTGTTAATAACTCAATGACAGAGAAAATAATTGGGAATAGGGTTTGTGAACCAGCCTCAGTAAGTCTACCATTGGCTCAGCTACTTCAATTCAAATTCAATTCAATTCAAAAATACTTTATTAATCCCAGAGGGAAATTGATTGCTGTAGTAGCTCAGAATAATAATAATAATCAAGTCATCAAAGAGTTATTGTATATTACAATGGCTGTTGGCAGGAAGGATCTCCAGTAGCGGTCAGTGTTGCAGCCAAACTGAAGAATCCTCTGACTGAAGACACTCTTCTGTTGTCGGACAGTCTTGTGAAGAGAATGCTCAGGGTTGTCCATCATTTTTTAACTTCATAACTTTTAGGCTGGACCAATCCCAGCGCTCTATGTTTGTAGAGAGACACTGGGCAGGCTTAGCACCATTACAGCAGAGGCTTTAGGGTTTTTGTTACAATGGCAAAGCTGCGACAGCACAAAACTACAAGGACGGAGATGGTTAAACAACAACGCTCGGCTTTGGCATCAACTTTGGACAATTTAGACTTGTGCTTTTCTGTCAGACATGAGCAGATAAAGGTTCTTCATGTATTTCAACAAAGGACAGTGTATGGCAGACTGCCCAGTTGAACGACTTCCACAGCCATGTAAACACCCCATTACTCTGATTAGTCCAGTTGCATGCAGGGACAGTTTGAGAGCCAACCGTAGATTCCACCGTAACGGCTGAGCTCTGTCCTTGGGTCGTGGTCAGACTACATATTTACATGTACACGATGGCTCAGGCTATAAAATATGCATATTTTATCACATTTTTAGGCTTCAACCGGTCACAGACAGTCACACTCCGACAGAAAAAAATGACACTGATTATTTCACTGACTGACAGCTAATTGACTCCCTTATGCTTCAATTAATCCAGTTGTTGAACACTAAATTGGCTCATTGATTTGCTGCCTCTCACCCTTCCTTTGCTTTCGTTCTATTTTCATCCTACATCTTGTTGAGCAGTGAAGCGGTGGTTGGAGGCCTAACGGTCTGACTTTGGTTGAGTCATGCCCCGAGCCTGAACCAGCTCACCGTCACATTCTGTTATCGTCAGAGGAAGTGCTGAGGGACCCTCTGGCTGATCTACAGTCACTTCTGTCTGCTCGCTGTCAGCGGAGCTTATCCCACTTACCTTTTCACCTTTTTGTTCTGCTTGGTGTGTGTATGTGCGCAAGCGTGTGTGTGAATGGGTCTGAGTTGATTCTATTATCCAGAAGGACTAGCAGCTCCACCGCCTTCCTGATAAGTCAAAGTCACATCTGTGTAGGGCTCTGTGATTTGGCATTTGGGGACATGTGATAATCAGCAAAATCTCATGGTTGTCTTATCTTATCATACCTTGAACCCCCCCCCCCCCCCCCCAAAAAAAAGTTATACAAATTCAGCTTTTATCAGATCTTACAGTTCCTAAAATACCGTAACCTTAGGAAATGTTTGAGTCTAAAGCCCCCTTCAGACAGGCCATGAAAAACAGAAATGTTCAGGACTCTGTCCGTAAGACCTTTGTGTCTGAATACAAACATCCGGATAACCTTTTCCGTAATTAAACCGGACGATGCCCCTAGTGACAGGTCCGGACTTGTTACGGACAGGGTGGCTGCTTCAGACTGGTGAGGTCGAGTTCTGGACAGGGAGGAGGGGGGGACCGGGGGACACTGTGCGCTCCTAGATAGCTCGCTCCTGTAGCATGCGGCAAACCATGGCAGCTCGCCTCCTACGGTACCGTCTCCTAGACGCGCGACGGAGCGCATCACACCGCTTCCGTGATTCCTTTTAACCATTGAGCGCCATCATCCAGGTCTTATGCGTCTTCGTGTGCGCAGAATTATGCTTAACATAAGTCCGATCCCCCCCACCCCCACCCCCAAGTTGTAGAAATTCAGCTTTTCTCAGATCTTACAGTTCCTAAAATACCGTGACCTTAGGAATTGTTTGAGTCTAAAGCCCCCTTCAGACAGGCCATGAAAAACTGAAATGTTCAGGACTCTGTCCGTAAGACCTTTGTGTCTGAATACAAACATCCGGATAACATGTTCCGTAATTAAACCGGACGATGCCCCCTAGTAACAGGTCCGGACTTGTCACGGACAGGGTGGCTGCTTCAGATTGGTGAGGTCGAGTTCCGGACAGGGAGAAGGGGGACCGGGGGACGCTGTGCGCTCCTAGATAGCTCGCTCCTGTAGCATGCGGCAAACCACGGCAGCTCGCCTCCTACGGTACCGCCTAGACGCGCGACGGAGTGCTTCACACCGCTTCCGTGATTCCTTTTAACCATTGAGCGCCATCATCCAGGTCTTATGCGTCTTCGTGTGCGCAGAATTATGCTTAACATAAGTCCGATTCACCCCCCACCCCCACCCCCCCCACCCCCCCCCACCCCCACCCCGGACACCTGGAACTTTTCCCTGCTGTGTGAAGGCAGCCGAAAGGACAAGTTCCAGTACAAAAGTGGTGTGTCTGAAAACACAGTTCTGGTTAAAAACCGGACTGAATTGTCCACACATGTTCCAGAATGTCAATCTGAAAAGGGCTTAAGTGTTCTTTAACAAGCTGTGAGCCCTGATAAGGTGGTGGTCCTTCTTGCTTCACACACTCAACGGAGAAACGTATGCAGCACCAGCATGTGTGTATATGAGGATGGATTTACCGACATCTGTGCTCACATGTGGTTACACAGCAGAATTCAGCCAATCAAACTTTATTCATTTGGTCACATGACAGCAGTGAAACCACATTACTTCCAAACCTATCTGCAGCACCGTCAGAATGCAAATCTAAACGTGACTGTGACTCATCAGTTTTCCACTCTCCTTTAAAGCAACAGTCGTGTAAATCATTTATTTATTTTAGAGTGATTTTTTTAACAATCTATAAAAAAGATTTTCTGCCTCAAGAATCACAAAAACGATTTTGAAAGCAATAGTTTAGAATGTAAAAACTAACCCTAGTCCTGCTTTAATGCCGCAGCGTCACATTTACTTCAGTATTTATCAGACAGAAACACATTTCAAAACAGCTAAAATATTCTTTTAGCCTCGACACCCCTCTTCATCGAGGTAGTATGAATACATATTTTTTCAGTTCACCTCAGTGACCTTATGAAGCACTTGCAAAACTCTTCAATCCTCCACACTTTAAAAAGGTGCAGCAAAATTAGATTTAATCTAGAAACTAGTTTATAACCCCCCATCCCACACACACACACACACACACACACACGAGCTGTCACCATACGATGTTTACATTCTACCCTCTGACAGCCTCAACGTTAACATCTTCAGCTCTTATCACCCTGACTGTTCGAGCCATGCTAATAGTGATAATTCCTGATGATGTTTGTTTAATTTGACTTCATGTTTACGGTGATGAGCTCCTTCCAATCAGCCGAGCTTGATCACCTCCTTTCTGTTGAAAGGAGAAGCGGTTGCCTAGTAACAGCTTCTTTTAGAGATGGTAAAAGGACTGTTGTATCAGAGTTGAGAGGATAATAATTACCATCTTTCAGCCAATCAGAGTCAACCACTGATAATATTGCCTCTACTGCTGCACAGTAGCCATTTATTCTATTTGTGTTCTGATTTTCTTCACTTTAACTCAAATGACTTTATGCCCACTGAATCACAAGAATGGAAAAACAGGGTGGCCTGGAGATGAGTCACACATGTGAAGTGGTTCAAGATGATAGGATATAAGAAAAGAGGTTATGAAATAGAGAAGCTTCTAAAATGAAATCACACATAAGTATAAACTAATAAATTAATTAAGAAGTGCTTTAATAGTCAAAAATGAATATTAAAAATGAAAAAGTTAAACATACATGTTTTAGACTTTAGTGTCATTTACTGGACTTTTATATGCCCCAGGTTAAGATCCAGTTCAATTTGTGAAGCTTTAAATGTGTCATTTTTGTAATTATAAGTAAAACTGTTAAAAAAATTATAATGTATGAATATGAACTTCTTTTTTGAAAAAAGTGATTTTTATGGAATTATTATTATTATTATTATTATTATTATTATTATTATTATTATTATTATTGCATGAAATCTGATTACATAAATGTCAAATTATGATTTTTGTCTCTTTTCTGTGCTTGTCGTCAGAACTTGGTTGTATTACAGCTTCTCACAGGCAGAGGGCGCTGCTCTGTTGCACAAAAGCCTCAGAAACCTCTAACCAGATATTCAGTTTGTTTCTATGAAAATGAATAAAACTAATTATTTCCTAAGTGAACTGTATCTAATTAGTCATTAAAACAGCTTTAACAACTTGATCATACTTTTTTATTTTTTTGTATTCATTTTATGCAGCTGCACATTGCGATCAGCAAAACGAGCGCCAAAGTATTTGTTGACTGCAAAATGGTTGCAGAGAAGTCAATCAGCGCAGCAGGAAACATCACCACGGATGGGATGGAAGTTCTGGGCAGGATGGTTCGCTCCAGAGGAAACAAGGACAACTCCGCACCGGTGACTAAATCATTTACATCAGCACAAAATCAGGAACTGGGTTCCATGTATTTATTTATTTGTTATTATTTACTAAGTCAGTCATTTTATTAAAGTTTGTTAGAAAATAAATGTAGTCTGTTACTAAATTATATTTAAACAAAGTCCTTCTAACTGCATGAAACAAAGTAATCTGTAATGCTGGAATGTAACTTCAACTAAATCTGAGCTCCATGTGAGCAGAGTTCATGGTCTTCCCCCCATCAGGCCTTTAGTCATCACCGATCCCTCTGATTCGTTCAAACTCATCTAAACAAAAGTCTCTAGCTTCTGGCTATGTGCCTTGTTTAAGTTCATTCATCTTTTTTGACACGTTTGATTCGTATAATCTCACTTTAAAGACAGATTTCGGACACAGTGACTCTTCTTTTTCAAGCGTAGGTGTATTTGTCTGAATCTGAATCATTCGTGTGAGAAAACGATGCTGAGCAGCCAGAATGAAGAACATTAAAATCCGAACCACAGATGGGAGGTGAGACACGTTCTGATAAAACGTTGTTTGCACAAATGACAATCATCGCCATGGCTACGCTAGAAGAAAGGGAAGTTAAAGATAACTTATTTTTCTTACAAAAGTGAAAACAAATATTTTCACGCTCCTAGTGTTTTTAAAAAACCCATGAATTACAAAACAGCTGGAATGATTACGGTAACTGGCTTGTATTGGATGTAGCACCTTCTAGAGTCCCCAATGCACTTTACAACATTCACCCATGCACACACACATGCACACCCTGGTTAATTTAAATGACTTATTTAAAGTTTTACATTTCACTCGATTTAAATAAACAGTTGGAAATGACCAAAATCAGAAAAAATGTTTTAAAATAAACAGTAAACCAACATTTTATTCATTTTAGCTCATTTTTTTAGTTTAGTTTATTTCAAACAAAGAAAAACATAATTTTTTTAAAATACCACAAACAGAAAAAATACATATCATCATCCCTTTTTCTTCTTCTCTGTTTGAAAAGGAGTAGGCTGAAGTGGAAACCTATATATCCCTACCCCTTTCTACAAGTAATTTTGACTTGTTTACTAAATCTAACACAAAGCCTACATTAAAACAAACAAAATGGTACAAGTCACCAAAAAACCACCAAACCATATGGAAAAAAACAAAAAATGAAAAAAAAAACATCTTTTTACAATTGATACAATTTACTTTTCCTTTAGAAATTTAAGAACAAACATGGATTAAGATAGATTACGTCACTTGAAAATTATTCAATAATCTTTATTAGCTGATAATAATATTCACAAGCTTGACACTCGTAAATTCCGAAACATCGCAGTAAAACAGTCCAGTTGTGTGTTATAAAAAAATCAGAATTTAATTTTGTGGAGTTTTGTAATTTATTGATGCCTTGCTTCTTTCCTCCTGCAGTTCCAGCTCCAGAACTTTGACATCATCTGCAGCACCTCCTGGGCCACCAGAGACAAGTGCTGTGAACTCCCTGGCCTGGTGAGGTCAAAGTTCATGTCTGTTTAAACATGTTTTCTCCTCGGTGCTGTAGCCTGTCTGCACACAGAATACATTTGCATGGATTAGTAAATAGGGAACATCCTGCTAAATCTATGTTTATTGTTTTAAATGCTGCTAATTTTTATTTGATGTTAAGCTTTTTCCTGTTTCTGCAAGAAGCTTTTACTTTGTCACGTAAATGCGTCTTACAGTTGCATTTATTCCACCCCTCCACGTTCTTTTATTGTGTCAAATTTTATACCATTTCATGAGATTATGCTTCTTTATTTTTTTTTCTTTCTTTGCCCGCATCACACCATCTTCATTCAGAGGAAGGAGGTAGACTGCCCAGCCCTGCCTAAAGCCTGCACCTGCACACAGGACAGCAAAGGCCCCCCTGGTCCTCCTGGAGTCCCAGTGAGCTTCACACAAACACTCAGAAACTCAGAACAGTGAATTCTGGTTACTCTGCAACTGTTTTTGTGTTCAAATAAATCATTTTGAATCTAAACAAGAATGCACCAAAAATTGGTGACACCATAATCTGTTTTCTTGCATTTAGAGATAAAATCAGTTGACTTTTCATTTTCTGTTTAGTTACCTTTATTTGTTTTTCATCTTTGTGGATCCATCCGTCCATTTCAGACATGATTTGCTTCTAGAGTTAGCCAAACTTCTGTTTCTAATGACCCGTTTGGTGTTTCTAACAGGGAGGTCCTGGAATCAGAGGAGCCAGAGGGGACCGAGGAGAGCCGGGCCCCGTCGTAAGTTCCTTTTTTTTAAAAGCCACCGCCGTGTGGACGAATGAGCTTAAATTGGTTTATGTCTGGATAAAACCAGAAGAAGCTGCTGATGTTTTTTTGTTCTGATGTGGTTGACTCGTGTAGCAACTACTGACTTTTTATCTCACACACACATACACACACAGGCACAACATATTATTGCAGGATATTTTCTCTGACCTTTGTGAGATGAGAGGAACATTCACAGCATGTGCACGAGGGTAATGTTAGTCTTAGTAACGTGGATTTTTTTGTTTCAAAAAATAAAACATCCATAAAGATAAAATTATGAGACAAAACGTGCCCAAGGTCCATGCAAATGATCTCATTAAAGAGAAATATTACAGATTATTTGGTGGAAAATTCAGAGCAACATTACAGATCTCACAAAAAATTTAAATTATACAGACCTCTACTGAAAAATAATTGTTGCAGGTTTTACTTAGAAACATGAGTCTGTTTCTGCAATCTGGTGCAGCTTTGATCTTATCAAGGTCATTCAGATCAGCTCTTATGATCCTTGCAGACTTGCTGCCATGCAGGTTAATCACATTCTTCCTCTTCCTCGGCTGGATTCTGTCTCCTTCATTTGCTTTGCCTTCAAGAATTTATTCCATAAAAGATTAAGCAGAAGGAAACGATGTGATGACCCGAGAGTTCAAACACTTTTTTCTTTGTCAGAATGTCTTTAACCCTCTCAGGCTCAGAATAAGTTTTGATAAAAGGAAGAACAACTAAGTCCTTCAGAGGTACTTCTACTTCTGAGTTAAAAATGCTCATGAAATACGTATGTGGAGTAACCAGGTAGGTAGGTTTTAATGTTGCAAATCTGCAACGCCTGCCTCAAGAGGGTCTAAGGAGCTTTGAAAGAAAAGCGTCTGGACTTCTTTGAGTTGCTTGAAGACATTTCACCTCTCATCCGAGAGGCTTCTTCAGTTCTAAGGTCAAATGGTGGAGAGTCCCAGATTCAAACCCAGTGGGAGTTTCCCCCCGAAGAGGGAACAAAAGACCCCCTGATCTTGAGGGATCTCAAAACTGGATTATAGATGCAGACAGTTGGTGTCGTAAACCACCGCCTCTGTTCAAAGATGGTTGCTCACAGTGGACATAAATGGCTTCCTTTACTCCTCTTTCAAACCATCTGTCCTCTCTGTCCAAAATGTGAACGTTGGCATCCTCGAAAGAGTGACCTTTGTCCTTTAGATGCAAATGGACTGCTGAGTCCTGTCCCGTGGAGGTGGCTCTTCTATGTTGTGCCATGGACTTGTGAAAGATGAGTAAAGGAAGCCATTTATGTCCACTGTGAGCAAAGCAACCATCTTTGAACAGAGGCGGTGGTTTACGACACCAACTGTCTGCCATCTATAATCCAGTTTTGAGATCCCTCAAGATCAGGGGGTCTTTTGTTCCCTCTTCGGGGGGAAACTCCCACTGGGTTTGAATCTGGGACTCTCCACCATTTGACCTTAGAACTGACGAAGCCTCTCGGATGAGAGGTGAAACGTCTTCAAGCAACTCAAAGAAGTCCAGACGCTTTTCTTTCAAAGCTCCTTAGACTACAATGACCTGGATGACTGAGAACCTTCACAGACATACTGCCTCCAGAGGGTTAAAACAAATTTCATCCTCTTTGGTTTTTCTGTCTCTCACCTTAAATCTTGAGGTTTTGTTTCTGACTTCCTGTTTCTTTCTAGGTAAGAATTTATAGAGGAAGTAAAATCCAAAGAAAGAACGTTGTAAGAACGATCGAACTATGAACCCAATGTAGTAATTAAAGAATGCTTCATTTCACACGCTTGTAAAATAAAGGCTTAAACACGGTCATAATCTAGACAATCTTGGAGTGACAAGGAAGACATTACCTCTTGAGCTTTACCTGTTGGCTTGCATTGGAGTATTAGAGGCCACACCTCACGAGGACAGTCGAGGGCTGCAGCAATACGCTCAAAGCTAGAAAATAGCTATCAACCTCGGTCTCTTTAAATGGTGGCGCCAAAACAATGCACTTGTGAATATCACACTTCTGTACATCAGGGCAAACAGTCTTAATCCCAGTAGGTCGTTCAGCGGTTTCCTCACTAGTCACAGTCTGGTCACGTTTTATCAGATGAAAGAGCACAGAGGAAAACACGTAGAAATCTATCTTTTTGTGCAAACAAGGTGACAGGAGATCACTGTTTAAGTTACAAACTGCGTGAGATTTTGTGTTTTCAGTCGTTTCCCCGTTAGCATCGGTCAGATTTATCAGATGTTTACAAGAAATTAAGCTGATGAAACGTTCCAGATGTGTTGGTCTGGTGCATGTTAAAAACTTCATCACTCTTACTGGTGGAAATGAACATCTGTGCATTTGTTTAACTGGATTGATTTTAAAAGGATGAACATTAGAGTGAACAAACTAGGAATTGTTTTTGCACATGATGGCAATATTTTATTAATGTGTATCCAACTGAATATTACTAACAGGGATTGAACAAATTCTTAAAAACTGAGAAAACTGTTGCAGATTTAAGGCTCATTCTCAACTCAACTTTATTTGTAAATCGCGCCTTACAGGCAAAAAGATGCCACCAAGGCGCTCCACCGATCAAGTAAAAAACATAAAACATTAAGTCCAGAAAATAAAAACATTGTATCACAAGATACAGATAAAAAATACAGTGAGTACACAGATTGCTATAAGTAAAACAATAAAACTAGTTAGAAAGGTTAAAAGACAGACTATAAAAATATGTTTTTAGCCTTGCCTTAAAAACCGCAACAGAGGTGGAGGCCCTTATGCTGAGAGGAAGCTCGTTCCAAAGCTTAGGACCTGCCACAGCAAAGGCCCTATCACCACACCACGTGTCTTAAGGCACAATCTTGGGACCGAGAGGAGCATGAGGTTTTCCGAGCGGAGTGACCGTGCAGGGGTGTACGGTTGAAGCAGTGACACCAAGTAAGGAGGGGCCAGACCATTTAACGTTTTAAAAACCAATAAGAGTATTTTAAAACAAATCCTTACATCAACGGGCAGCCAATGAAGCGCAGCCAGGACAGGAGTAATGTGGTCCTACTTGCGCCTGCCCTCTAAAAATCTGGCAGCAGCATTCTGGACCATTTGCAACCTCGCTATTGAGCCCTTGCTCACACCGAATAAAACAGAGTTGCAGTAGTCCAATTGCACCGTAATAAAAGCATGGACTACCGTCTCAAGATCATGACTTGACAAAAATGGTTTGATCTTTGCCGACTGACGAAGGTGGAAAAAGGAGGAGGAGATCACTCCATTGATATGGGTATCAAAACTAAGGGCGCTATCCAGTTTAACACCAAGATTAGTCACCGATGTAGTCAGCTGGCCATTAGATGACCCACAGTCAGTTAGGGAAGAGTCACAATGTCTGCTTGGAGCAAACAATATAGCCTCTGTTTTCTGATCATTTAGGCTCAGAAAATGTTCACTCATCCAGATCTTTATCTCCCTCAAACAGTTAGCAAGAATAGAAATAGAGAGACCACTTGACGTGTTCAGAGGCAGGTACAGTTGACAATCGTCAGCATATAGGAGGAATTGAACTCCAAGCTCACGACAGATGTCACCTAAGTGCAGAATGTAAACAGAAAACAACAGAGGTCCCAATATCGAGCCAGGGTAGATCAGAGTACCCTGAGGATTAACTTCCCATCCTAACACACATTTTTCTATTTGTCAGGTATGACCTAAACCATTCCAGGGCTAACCCTGAAATCCTGACATAATGATGTAGACGGTGAAGCAGCACTTCATGATCTATCGTGTCAAAGGCAGCCGTGAGGTCCAGCAGAAGTAACAACACAGAATTACCGCTATCAGTCGCTAGATAGATGTCATTGAGCACTCTAACCAGAGCAGTCTCCGTGCTGTGTAGAGCTCTGAAGCCAGACTGGAAAGTCTCAAAAATGGCTTTCTCATCCATAAAAACCAAGAGCTGGTGGTAAACACATTTCTGTAGTACCTTTATTTAAGAATGGAAGTTTCAAAATGGGCCTGTAGTTTTCAGCCAGCGAAGCATCCATTCCAGGTTTTTTGAGCAAAGGTTGAATAACCGCCTTTTTGAGGTCGTCAGGGACTATACCAGAACTGAGCCTCATGTTAATTATGTGCAATATTAAAGGGGCGACTACTGGAAAGACTTCTTTAGAGGCGCGTTGGCATCACTTCATTCGGCGAGCCGCTCGGCTTAGCCTTCCCAGCGATCTTGATCAAATCATCTAGACTAATTTGTTCAGATGCCACCAAACCTCTGGTGGCAGTAACAGAACGGCCACATACCAGTGCCCTAGACATGGTAGCCCGGAGCGCAGAAACTTTCCCAATAAAAAAGTCACGGAACTCATCACACATTCCAGCCGAAGCCTGCACCACACAATGATCATTTAATTTCAGAACTGAGTCAATTGCTGTATAAAGTACTCTGGGGTTGTTTGAGTTTAAAGAAATGAGATTGGAACAATATGCAAATTTCGCAGATCTAACTGCCTCTTGGAATGATTTCCAACTGTCACGTAGAGCAATTAGGGAAACATGCAGATTATCCTTCTTCCGCTGTCTCTCGTATCTTCTACATGTCCTTCTTGCGGCACGAGTAGCATCTGTTGACCATACATTTACCGTATGCTTTCCCCTCCTGGGCCTTAACGGCGCAACAGTGTTAAGGATAGCCTCACAGGTCTCAGTAAAACAAGTAAGCAATCCATCCAGTGAGGACTCGTCTGATAAATCAAAGAAGGCTTGTTCAAACAACGAAGTGAAATGAGTTGCAGTGTCAGAGTTCACATGACGACTATACCTACTGGGGCCAACAGGTGCCAGCAAATTGCTATGCAGAGTAGTCTCAAATAATATCAGATTATGGTCTGAAAAAACCGCATCCTTAATAGTCAGATTATCTACTGAACACCCCAGTGATAACACAAGATCCAGTGTTTGGCCACATTAACCCACTGCGTAAAAGTCAACG